GAGCTACAGATCCACTCCAAAACCTTAGAATCATTCAATGAGATCATGGCTGATTTCATAATCTCCAACTTCACTTTCCTGGTTTATCCCCCATAACCCTTGATTCTCTTACTGTATAAAAATTTGTCTATCTCAGCTTTGAATGTATTAATGATCCAGTCTCTACAGCCGTCTATGGCAAAGAATGCCAAGATTCATAACCCTCGAAGAGAATAAATTCCCCCTTATATCTGTCTTAAATGTGTGACTCCTTATTCTGAGATTATGCCCTCTGGTCCTAGACTCGCCTACAAAGGAAACAACCTTTCCACATGGTATCCAGAATTTCCAGAATTTTGTGATTTTGCTTCTGATTTTCAGCATCCACAGTATTTTGATTTTCGGTTTAAATGGCTGATCCAGGTACATTTCTGTTTTTTGGTAATCCCAGAATCCTGAGGGGAGGAATTAGTGATGATAATGCTGTTGAATGTGAAGGGAACCCCCTCATTTTGGGGGTGGTTGTTACCTGGCATTTTGCTGCCAAATTGTCAGGTTGATGCCAGTGTTTTGGCTGTACTAGGACAACTAGGTGAGTGGAGCGCCTGATTTTGGATCACATATCTTCAGCATTATAGTGGGATGTTGTCAGGGACCATAGTCTTCCAGTGCTCTCAAGTATTTCTCAATATCACAGCGAATGAATCAAATTAGTTGAAGACTGTATCTATGACGTGTCCTCAGGAGGAAGCCAAGGTAGAAACCCAGTTCCAAGGTAGAAACCCTGAAGTACTGGGTTTTGTATTTTTCCACTTCTATTTATGTTTACTTACTTTCTATGCAATTTTTCATTTAGGAAGGGCAAATAAGTCCAAGACAGTAACAAAACTTTGGTTTCTATCTTCATTATAATGCCTGATTAGTGATTTATTATTCAGGAATTATTGTCCTTCAGACACACAGATACCACAAATATTAAATTTTGCAAGTTACACCTTGTTTTCAAGGGTGGAGGTTTTTTTTAGGTAAAGAAATGAAGCAGCTTACATAGGAGGACTATGTCATGCATTTCAAAAATATAGCTGTATTACAGCCATCAGAGTTCAACAAAGATAAATAATTGGAATTTTTCTGTTCACTGCGGAGCAATGTGTCAAAAGTGGTTAGTACAATTAAAAGGTGGCCAAGGCATATCTTCTACATTAAAGTGAAAAAATTGACAATGTTGAAATAGTTTTAAAAAAACTGTCATAAATGATTTGCATTCATCAACGCTGCAAAACTGTGCTATAATCTACTTTAAATCAGTGACACTTTGAAATATGATAACTTTATTAAGAAAATAACAATTATATATCGTTTTGCAGATGATACAAAGATAGGTGGAGGGACAGGCAGTATTGAGGATGTGGGGAGGCTGCAGAAGGATTTGGACAGGTTAGGAGAGTGGGCAAAGAAGTGGTAGATGGAGTACAACGTGGGAAAGTGTGAGGTCATGCACTTTGGTAAGAAGAATAGAAACATGGACTATTTTTCTAAATGGGGAGAAAATCCAGAAGTCTGAAGTGCAAAGAGACTTGGGAGTTCTAGTTCAGAATTCTCTCAAGGTAAAATTGCAGGTTGAGTTAGTATTTAGGAAGGCAAATGCAATGTTGGCATTTATTTTGAGAGGACTTGAATATAAAAGCAGGGATGTACTACTAAGGCTCTGGTCCGGCCACATTGGAGTATTGTGAGCAGTTTTGGGCCCCATATCTCAGGAAATATGTACTGGCCCTGGAGTGGGTTCAGAGGAGGTTCACGAGAATGGTCCCAGGAATGAAAAGCTTAAGATATTAGGAACGTTTGAGGACTCTGGGTTTTACCCGATGGAATTTAGAAGGACGAGGAGAGATCTAATTGAAACTTACAGAACACTGAATGTCCTGGGCAGAGTGGATATTGGGAAGATGCTTCCATTGGGAGGAGACACTTGGAGGAAAGGGAAGACCTTTCATACTGGAGATAAGGAGAAACTTGTTCAGCCAGAGAATGGTGAATCTATGGAATTCACTGCCACAGAAGGCTGTGAAGGCCAGGTCATTGAGCATATTTAAGACAGAGATAGATAGGTTCTTGATTGTCAAGGGTTACAGGAAGAAAGCGGGAGAATGGGGTTGAGAAACTTATCAGCCGTGATTGAATGACAGAGCAGACTTGATGGACTAAATGGCCTAATTTCTGCTCAAATGTCTTATGATCTTATTTCTAATGCACAATTTTGATGCCCCATTTCGTCCAAATGGAGGAATTATATATCACACTTTCATGTTTCTGATTTCTAAGCCAATGTTGGGTTAGAGGTAATTAATTGTAATAGCTGAGACTGACTTATCAACTACTAAAATAAAATGAAAAAAGAACAAAAATAAAACAAAAAGAACTGCGGATACTGGAGATCTGAAACAAAAACAGAAATTGCTGGTGAAACTCAGCAAGTCTGTTATGATATCTGCCCTAGTTATGCCTGTCTCTTTGTGGGGTATGTTGGACATTCCTTGTTCCAATCCTACTTGGGACACCCAACCCACAACTCTTTCTTTGGTACATCAATGGTTCTGCTTCTGTCACTCATCTGGAATTGGAAATATTTATCAATTTCACTTCCAAATTTCACCCCGTTCTCACCTTCACCTTGTCCATCTCAGACTACTCCCATCCCTTCCTTGACATCTCGTGTTTCCACTTCTGGAGATAGGCTGACCACCAATGTCTACTACAAACCCACTGACCCCCACAGTTACCTCAACTATACACCCTCACACCTGCTTCCTGTAAGGACTCCGTCCCATTCTCCCAGTTTCTCTGTCTCCATCACATCTATTCTGATGATGCCAACTTCCATAGGGAGGCCTCAGAAATATCAACCTTTTTCCTCAACCAAGATTCCCCGCTACCATGATGGACAGGACCTTTAGCTGCGTCCAACCCATTTCCTGCACTTCTGCCCTTCGCTCCTTTTCTTCCCTCCCACAGCAATCGGGTCACCCTGGTGCTCACTTCCACCTCCCAGCCTGGACATCCAATTGTAAGTCATCATCTCCGTCACCTTCAGTGCGAAGCCATCACCATACACATATTCCCCTCCCCTTCACTATCAGCATTCTGCAGGAACCATTCCCTCTGGAACTACCTTGTCCTCTCCTTCACTCCCAAAATCTTCTCACAGTTCCACGGGACATACCAAAAATTGAGGAAGGTGTAATACCTATCTGTTTACTTCCTCCATCCTCAGTATCCAAGGCCCCAGACATACCTTTCAGGTGAAGCAGTGATTTACCTGTACTTCATCCAATCTAGTCTGCTGTATTCACTGTCCACATTGTGGTCTCCTCTACACTGGGGAGACGAAATGCAGACTGTGTGACTGCTTTGCAGAACACCCACGCAATGTCCGTAAAAGTGACCCAAAGCTTCCAGTTGCCTCCCACTTGAGCACATGACAGTGTTCCCCACTAATGGTTATGTCTCTGGCTTACTGCAGTGTTCCAGTGAAGCTCAGCACAAGCTGGAAGAACAGCATCTTATTTTCCACTTGGGGTCCCTGCAACATCAACTTTGAGCTCAATAATTTTACTGCCTGACCTTGTCCTTCCTCTCATAACAATCTTTTACTACCCACCACAAAATCCTGGTCCTGTCATCACATTAGATGCTTTCAGCACAGCTAACGCATTTGTACCCACTCTCAGACCTATTATCTCATGATATAGATTACTTTCAACACAGTTTATCTATTCTATCCTACTCTCAGCTCTCATAATCTCTGATTCAGCTTTTGTCTGGCCTACTATCAATAAACCCCTTATCTGGCTACCCATCATATCTCTGTCTCTGGGCTTTGTCTCCAACTATCCACTCACCTCTTTCTTCTTCCCTCTCTTGCCCGTCTCCCCACACTACCACCAACCTCGTCTTCAGCATAAATACCACCTTTTCCTCGCTGTTTTCACTTCTGACGAAGAGTCATCAGGCTCAAAACGTTAACTCTGCTTTCTCCCTACAGATGCTGTCAGGCCTGCTGCATTTCACCAGCAATTTCTGTTTTTGTTTTCGACTTACCAAATATTTGACAGAATTCAAAATGAGAAATAGCTGCATGACCTTTTCTCAGCCTCTTCAAATTAAAAATGAGATATTCACAGGGATGCATGGGAATAAATGCATCCCCACCTAGTCTGCAGGACAGAATTATGTGAACACAATCCACCATTTACAAAATGTTAAATGAAGGATTTTTTTGAAAAATCCAGAATGACGACTGGATTTCGTCCACTTTGGCAAGCAGCAACTAACCATCAACTAGATCTTTGAATCTGTTCATTAGAAAAGAATAACCATGAAAAGCAGATTTCTTACTAGTTATTATTCACATTAGCTTTTGACTTCACAACTATTAACAATTCCCTTGTAATATCAACGAGAACCAATGAAGTTAAGTGAACGGTATTCTGCATGGAGGCTGTAAAACAAAACATTGTGTACTTAAATTCAACAGTTGTTCCTTGATTGAAGTCACGTTCAACAATGTATTTTGATGCATGCAAACTGTAAGCCACGACTGTCTGACTTAGTTTCAAGTAATGGAAAAATGTTTTCAAGGTTTATAGCCTTGTAGTTACTCTTACTTTATTGCATGGATCATCACATCAGTATTGAATTCCTCACTCTCCTATTTACGAGACCTTAGACATTTATTACAGGTATATATATCTATTATAAATCAAACTAACAAAAACAATTTGACATAAGCATGCAAAAAGTACATGTGAAGTCCATGTAACTTACTGTTTCTTTCAGGGTCTTCAGTGCCCCCCAAACTAAAACATTTTGGCATTTCAGAGAAACTTGATACCCTGATCAGAAATATACCAAATCAGATAGGATATGAACATTTTTCAGATGGTTAGATATCTTTAGTAAGGCTGTATTTCTGGAACACCAAACTTACTAATGCTATCTCAATTCATGCCGTTTCATACCTGACTGCCATGCAGGGCCTGTTGTTGTTGATGAGTGAAAAATCTAGATTTCCCAGATTCATCTGAGGTCGGGCTGACAGGCTTAGGGTCAGACATGGAGCGCTGCATCACTTTGATTGGCCGAGGCAGACTTTGCTGCCGTTTAGGTGATTCAGTGGTGAAATGTTTTTGAGGAGTAACGTGGGCTTTGTTTAGCTTCTCACATGAAGTGAAGGATGTGTCTAATAGCCGATGTGGGGACAGCGGTGAGACAGGCGAGTAGAGAACTTGTGGAGACTTTGGAGGCTGGCGAGTCATTTGAGGCAAAGGCTCAGGTGGGAGATGACACTGATATCCTATTTCCAAAGGATCTGGTTTCTTCTTCTCAGCCTTTGGGACGATCATAACTCCCTGCTGCCTGTTATTGGTTTGGTCCAGCGGGCCAGACGTTACAATCTGTATGTTAGTAGAGTAGGGATTAATGGTGGTTGGAATTGCAAACTGAGGGACAACAATGCCTTGTGACTGTGCTTCAGGCTCCGTTTGGCAAGCAAGACTCTCACCTTTGTAGGTTTTCTCAGGAGCAGATATGTATCTTACAATTTCCACTCGTGGGTCAGGTGTGATATGGATGGCAGGGAAAACTGGCCCGAGCTCATGTTGATCTGTCTGGACAGAGCAATCATTGACGGTTTGTATGGCAATACTTGAGGTCCCCTTTGATGCTTCCCGCTTGTGCTCTGTGCTTGAATCTGAATGCTTTGAGAACCTGGAACGGCGTCTACGAGTAGGTTGCTCCAATTCTCCATTGTCTTCATCGTCTGTCTGTACACTGCAATCCACACTCCGTTTAGGTCTTCTCCGACGGGATATGTAGTAGCCTTCCTCACCTTCCTCGTCATCAGTCTGTACGCTGCAGTCTGCTATTTTCTTAACCACATACTGATCACGTAAGGATGCATCATCTCCCTCATAAGCGTCCCTTAGCCTAGGCACTGAGTTGCGCTTCTTGATGGTTCGATTTTCCCAGTGCTCATCAGTTCGAAGAGACAGTTCAGAAGTGGATCGTTGTGGTGCTTCTATGAATGCCCTGTGATGTGGAGATACATATGCTTCTTGGGCAGTAGTGGCAACAGGGGCACCTTCCATGTATGGCTGGTTCACAGGCCAGTACTGCCCATTCTGAGCTATTGTTCTTTGCATTTCAATAGCCATTTCTGACATGCTGTGTGGATTGATCCTGCCTGAAGGGTCACAAACTGCAGGAAAACTTACGGTATTTCGTACTTTCTGCTCTTCCAGTTGCTGGTGCAGTTGCTGTTGGAGCTGTTGAATCTGCTCTAGTTGCAGCCTTTGTTGTGCCAACTGCTCTCGTTGCAACACAAGCTGGGCCTGCCTCTCCTCCTGCTGTTGGTGTAATACTTGCTGCTTGATGGTCTGCAGCTCCTGAAGCTCGCGTTGCACAATGATTTGTTCACTCTCCCGGTGGCGCTGCAACTCCAGGCGCTGGCGTTCCAATTCCTCCTGCAGGCGCTGATGCCTCAGCTTTTCCAGCTCTACACGTTCCCGCTCAATGAGCAGCATGTGGTCTTGCTGCTGCTTTCGCTGATGCTCTTCCTCTTTGTCCTCGTGCTTCCTCCTACCAGCACCAGTCCTTGCAGTGTCACTTTGCCGGGCTTCCTGTTGCTTTTGTTGCTGCAGTTGCTGCTGCAACAATTGCTGCAGTTGCTTTTGTAGCTGCTGTTCTTTCTGCTGTTCAAGCTGCTGTTCTGCTTGTAGCTGTTGTTGAACTTGTTGCATTTGTACTTGCTGTGGCTGTTGTATCTGCTGTTGCATTTGCTGTTGCATTTGTACTTGCTGGGGCTGTACTTGCTGGGGCTGTTGCATTTGTACTTGTTGGGGCTGTACTTGCTGGGGCTGTTGCATATGTACTTGCTGGGGCTGTACTTGCTGTTGAACTTGTTGCTGTTGTGTCTGCTGTTGTACTTGTTGCTGTTGTGTCTGCTGTTGTACTTGTTGCTGTTGTGTCTGCTGTTGTACTTGTTGCTGTTGTGTCTGCTGTTGTACTTGTTGCTGTTGGACTTGTACTTGCTGTTGTTGTGATTGCGCTTGATGCTGTAACTGTTGCTGCTGCTGGATGAGCCCAATGTCAGCCTGATTAGCATCAGAGATGAACTTCTGAGTCACGGGAGCTGAAATATTTTGCTGAGGAATACCACTTTGTTCCTGCCTCTGCGTGGTCTGGGCCGGCACAAGCTGACTCATATTTACACCTCCAGTTCTGACATTATTCCCGGGTGCCGCTCCAGACTTTCCAAGATATATAGGTGCTTCCCCAGCAGAAGTTGTGGGAGCAGCTGGAAACCTGTTTGCAGGGAGGTAATGGTACAGCCCAGGAGCTGCAGCAGGCATCCTTGGTGCAACAAGAGGGAGTCTGCTCAACCTGGCCAGTGGCACGGCTGTGATATTACCAGGTAAGTAGGGCCTGTAAACACCTCTTAACATTGGACACAAGATAGAAGCTGGCTGTGTCGTAATAGGGAGCGTGGAAGCAATTGGAGTATTGATTGTAGAGTAAATCATGCCATCAGGTGCTCTCACGGGAGCAGCTGAAGGATACATGTGCCTAATGGCTCTCAAACGTACTGCTTGCGGCATGTTGCCAAAGCCATGCACTGCAATACGACGTCGGGAGTCAGACAGGTTTGGACGATACTTCATGTCTTGTTTCAGTGGTGGCATTCCTTGATGGTGTGACATTACACTGTTTCTTGCAAGTTCACTGCAGTGAGCATTTGGCCCAGCTGGTCCATACTGAAGGGAATCTGAACTGTTTGTATATCGGGTTCCGTAATGATCCATGGAATTTAGGGCTGCACACATCCTGCTAATCTCGCGAGCAGTGGTTGCGCTGTATTGGGCCAAACTAGCCTCTTGAAAATTTGGCAAATCCTCTCGTATTGAGTAACCATAACCAGAATGAATATTAGACATTGAACTATATCTTCTTATAGGCGTGGGTTGGCTCAGGATATCTGACTGTTGTCTCAGGTCAGTGAAGGAACCATACTGCATTCCAAGCTCCCAATCGCTCCCCTGGCCGAAAGATAAACTGTAGGACTGTCTCATTGTACTCAGATCTACAGCTGCATCTCCTCCGGGCGGGTGATAAAAAGGTTCGTCCTTCATTAGGTTGTAATTAAGACTAGCTTCTAACAAATTAGAGTCTGACATGGATGAATGTAGTCGCCCAGAAAATACCTGAGGAAATGTTTTGTGCTCTTTATACAAATTAGAACCGTCCTGGTAAGTAGCCATGGGCTCTTTATACTGGTAACTGTCAACAGGCTCCTGAGCCCTGTTGTCATAGTATTTCTGAGCAATATTCCTGTCATCGAGCTGTGGTTCAGTCATTGCTTGTTCTGGGACTTGGGTGCCTGAATTAAATGACCCTGTGCAGCTACTAGCAAAAGGAAATTTATACACAACATCACAACAAACAGCCCTTTCTGGTTTGGCTCCGGTCAAATCCAAAGCATTCGAAGGAGTATCTTGCTTTAACAGCTTTGTAACTGTGCCAGCTGCTGTGCTATCCAGTTGCACCATCATAGTGTGTGCTTTCGCTCCCAGCACGTTTGCTGGAGGAGCAGATGGCTTTAATTCCAGTGATGCTTCTTGGTGTACCTGTGAAGTGACAAAGCCACTATCAAGAGGCACTGATCTTGGAATGGCACTAACACTAATGGCGTTATTAATGTTGCCCTGATTCACTAACATGTCCAGTTTGCGCACTGGAGTCATTTGGTTAGCTAAGTTAAATCTAGCAAAATGTGGCTGGATTTGACTAGTAAAACCTGATTTTGTTGTAACTGTTGCCATATCTGTATTGGTTCCACTTTCTGTTACAGTAAGGGGTTGGACCATTGATTCAAGCTGTCTTGCTTGTGTGAGACAGATTGCTGTGGCTGTGCCATGACCAAGATCCATTAGATTCTGGAAAGGATCTCCATATATTTTTGGTACTTTGGATTGGGAAATTAGCATTGATGATGTTATTGTTATGCCCACTGTCGTATTAGAAGTCGTATTTACATGCGGATATTCCTGCACATTAAGATTCATGATTAATGGCTGCACAGCAGTGGACTGACGACATGGAATCTGGTCTGATTCAAGTGAGTATTTTCTACTTTCTGTAGCTAAAGATGTCAAATCCATTCCATGATCTGTTATGATAACAGGAGGTGATTTAGTAGCTGTTCGGAGATCTACTATAGAGCTACCTGTCCTTGAAACTTCCACTGAGTTTATGTTTGCATTTGCATTCTGGTAAAACCACGATGCTTTGTTGAAACAGGTATTTTCCACAGGAACCACTTGACCAAGCACAGAAGTTGTGACAACTGTTGAAGATATCTGTCCTCTCTGAGTAGGCTGCATCATGGATGTTCTATCATTCTGTGATGAAGACTTGGCATACATGGGCTGGAGCTGCATCTGCTGTGGTGTTGAAGCAGGCACTGGCTGTGTCCAACCGTGCAAGGTTTGTTGTCGATTCAACCGAGTCGGCGAGGCATTTGGTGACACAGATGAGTTGATGGCTAACGGTTGGGCTGAAGATGAAACATTTGATGCCAGAGTAATGACCATGCACGTGGATTCGGGAGAGGATATTTGCCGAGTGAGTCGGGGTGACCTCGCTGATGTCTGAGTACCCTGAGCCATCATTGTGGAGGGTGATGAGGCCACGGTCACATTGGAAGGCAAGATAACTCTGGCGTTGGAAGTCTGTGTTGAAAATTCTGTAGTGGATTTACCACTGGACAGGGAAGTTGTTGATGTGTCAGTTCTAGTTACTGCTGTCTGCGATGATGGCGATAGGGGCTCCTCGGGGCTAGGAGTTTTGAAAAAGCTCCCAGGTGTCTGTGTGGATGTTCCATCAAGATTTGGTGCCCCATAAGATTCGCTGAATTTCTTACCCCCAGACAAATTATTTTGAGAGCAATATGGTGTTGAGATTCCCGGATCTGAAGGCCTGACTTGAATGTATCCCATACTTCGATCTATGGGAGAAGATCTTGCAGACATAGAGGACTGACTTACTATTGCAGTGGCCACAGTCACAGCTGATTTTTTGTTGTATGTTGTGTAAGAGGCTGTTACAATATGTGAGGTGTCGACCTTGGTTCCGATTGGTGTTGCAGTCTGGTCCTGCATGTCTCTCATAAAATACTGAGTCACCCGAACATCAGGGATGCCTCTATTAGCTTGAGATGAAATAAAAGTCATTGGTGCAGATGACTGGGTGGGACTTGTTCCAGGTGTAAGAAGTGCATCTGTTTGCTTTGCTAATTCTGTGTAAGCACTTTGCGCATCAAGAAGCTTCTTTTCCTGAAAAGACCTCTCAAGGTTTTGTAATTGAGCATTTTGTTGCTGCAGGCGGAGCTCCAGCGATGGTGAATGGGACAGTTTTGGAGTTTGTGCAGCAGTTTTTGCAGTAATCTCATATGCTTCTGCTTTCTGCAGCTCACCTGGTACACTTGTCTGAGATAATGTTATTTCATTGTTCGAGTAAGTGTAGACATCTGAAGATTGGTACTTGTAATTATTCTGCATGTAATCATCTTGTTGGTAAGAACTGCCATAAGCCATTGTCTGTGCTGGCTGCTGTGTCTTTAGCATTTCGGCTTTCCTCATCATTTCTTCATATGCTTCCTCGGCACTTTTCAATGGTTTTTGATTTACTGAAGAACTACTGGTAGTTGATTTTTCAGTTGGAGAATACAAGGACATAAACGATGGGAGGTTGTATTCGCTGCCAGATTTGTATAATCTGCAGGTTGTTATTTCAAAACCCTCAGCTTCTGAATCCATCGTGGGTGAATACTCAGAACAAGATGACCGATGGAGTTCTTCCATTTCTGCAGCTTGGCGCAACTCTTCTGTGGGAGAAGCATCCTCGATGGGAGAAAGATTGCTTGGCGGTGTTTTGGATCTTTCGCGTCTTCTCTGTGCCCTTAATTCTTCTTTGTCCCTTTTTGCTTTACGTGCTGTGCTTCGAATGCGATGTTGTTCCACCTCACGCATCTTCTCCTGCTCTCGAAGCAGCTCTTCTTCCTCTCGTAACTCCTCTTCCTCAGAAGAGTCCTCAATAGTTGGCAACAGAGGACCATGCGATCGATGTCTTGCCTTTCTCTGCTGCTTCACCTCTTCAAGTCTGTGTCTCCGGCTTGGACTACTGTCACTGTCTTCTTCCATTGAGGAGACAGAAGTTGGTGAAGTGCCTGATGAAAAAGTAGGTGTTGAGGGTGGCAATGTGGATGAGTATTCACCCTTTGATTTTTCATCTGGTGACCCAGTCAAACTTTCCATCTCAAGTTCAGGTTCTCTATCAATACTGAGGTCTGCTTCACTACAACCTTCGACATCTCGACTGATGTAAGTGTTTGTAGTATTCAAGTCTATAGTCTTGAAGCGTCGTAGCCCAGCTGGTTCTCCCACTGAATCCTCTTCTGCACGATTCAGGGATTCCCTGTATGTATCTTCATGTTCCTTCTGTTCTTGCCATGACTGGCTGTCTTCCTGTCCATAACCTTCCAGTGTTGTATCTTCGTAATTGCTAACTGTACTGGGATCCTGACGTTGCTTTGAAGGGCTTTGCTTATTAGACTCTGAATTACGTTTCTGACTCTTCTTTATACTAACACGTTTAACATGACTATCCAAGTCCTCATTTTCCACAGAGACATTATCCTCTTCTGCACTCATTTCCAACAACTGCCTTCGCATAAATTCTTCATCGGTTAATTCTGCTCCAGATTGTATATTCTTAGCATGAGGAGCTGATACTGCACTTCCACTACGGTCTTCAACATAGCCATGCTGCAGTTTCCTGCCAAATTCATCCAACGACTCCAGGCTTTCTCTTCGCTCACCTTGGTTTTCCAATTCAAAAGTGTCTTCATCCTCTTCTTGTATATCTTCCAGCTCTTCATCTGAACTATAAGACTCTGGAGTAATTGAAAGCGATCGGGGTCTATACCCCTGTCTTTGTTCTTCACTTGAACTTTGAGCAGTCCTTTCCCTTTCAGCTTTGTCTTGAACACTTTGGGATTCCAGCAATGGCCGTACACTGCTCTCCAACTTGTTAAATTCTGAAGGGCTCTTTGGACTCTGTTGCATTGGACCAGACTCATTAAGCTTTTGTGCCTCATGGTGCAGTGATGTTGTAATCTCACTCTGAGAACTCGAGATGCCATCTGACGAGTAGCCTGTATCACTTAAACTTTGTGGGCTACGTGACTGTTCTTGAGGATAGCCTTTACTCAACTCCTGAAAATAACAAGAAATTTATTGTAAGTAAACAGTTAATTAGTACACACACTGCCACTTTTGCATTCTACAATTTATTGTGTACAAACACAGCACCAGACTCCTGTGCTTTTTTGTTGAATAACAGAAATTACATGTGAAATCATAATACCATAAGATATAGGTGCAGAATTAGGGCATTCAGCCCACTAAGTCTGCTATACCATTTGATCATGGCTGATATGCTTCTCACCCCATTCTCCTGCTTTCTTCCTGTAACCTTTGATCACCTTACCAATCAAGAACCAATCTTTTCCTTAAAAATGCCCCTACAGCCCTGTGTGATAATACGCTCTACAGATAAACCACCCTCTGGTTGAAGAAGTTCCTCCTCATCTTAGTTCTAAAGGGTTGTCCCTTCAATCTGAGGCTGTGCACTCCTCTCCACACCCACTCTATCAAGACATCTCAGTATTTTGTAAGTTTCAATCAGATTCCACCTTCATCCTTCAAAAGTCCATTGAGTACTGACCCAAAGTCCTTATACACTCCTCATATGACAAGCCCTTCATCCCTGGGATCATTCCTGTAAACCTCCTCTAGACCTCCTCCAATGCCAGCACATCCTTCCTTAGATAAGGAGCCCAAAACTGCTCACAATGTTCCAAATGAGGTCTGGCAGGAGCCTTGTATGGTTTCAGCAGTACGTCCCTACTGTTGTATTCTAGCCCTCTTGAAATAAATGCTAACACTTCATTTGCCTTCCTAACTGCTAACTGAGTCTGCATGTTAACCTGAAGAGAATCCTGAACTAGGATTCCAAAGTCCATGCTTCAAATTTTCAAAGGCATGCCCATTTAGAAAATAGCTTACGCCTCTACTCTTCCCATCACAGTGCATAATCTCACACTTTCCCACATTGTATTCCATCTGCCATTTCTTCGTCCATTCTCCTGCCTTGTCCAAGTGCTTCTGCATCCTTCCCACTTCCTCAACAAAACCTATCTCTCCACCTATCTTTTTTCATCTGCAAAGTTGGCAACAAACCCTCAGTTCCTTCGTCGAGATTGTTAATGTACAACATGAATAGCTGTCATCCCAACACAACATCTGTGGAACTCTGCTAGTCACCGGCTGCCATCCTGAAAAAGACCACTTGGTCCCTCTTCTTTGCCTTCTGCCAATCAGCCAATTTTCTATTCATGCCAGTACCCTGCCCCTAAAACCACAGGCTCTGATCCTATGATTCATTCATAGAATCCCTATAGTGTGGAAACAGGCCCTTTGGCCCAACAAGTCCACATCGACCCTTAGAGCATGCCACCCAGACCCATCCCCCTATAGCCTACCTAATTTACACATCCCTGGACACTACGGGCAATTTCCCATGGCCAATCCACCTAACCTGCACATCTTTGGACTGTGGGAGGAAACCGGAGCACCCGGAGGAAACCCACACAACCACGGGAGAATGTGCAAACTCCACACAGACAGTCGTCCGAGGGTGGAAGCAAACCTGGTTCCCTGGTGTTGTGAGGCAGTAGTGCTAACCACTGAGCCACCATGCCACCCTAGTGACCTTATCTAGCAACCTCCTGTGCAGCACTTTGTCAAAGGCCTTCTGGAAATCCAAATAAATCATGTCCACTGGCTGTCCTCTGTCTAACCTGCTCGTTACCTCCTCAAAGAATTCTAACAGATTTGTCAGTCATGACCTCCCCTTGACAAAGCCGTACTGACTCAGCTCTGTTTTACCATACACTTCTAAGTACTCCACAATCTTATCCTGAATAATGGACTTTAAAATCTTACCAATGACCAGGGTCAGGCTAACTGACTTATAGTTTCCTGTCTTCTGCCTCCCTCCCTTCTCAAACAGGCTGTTACTATAGCCATTTTCCAACCCTCTGGGACCCTTAAATTGAAGGCTAACATTCAGGGCTCATCGAAGATTTGAACCTGGGAACTCTCACATATCAATTGAACACAAACCCTCAAGTGAGAAACATGCTCCTAGACCAACAAGCCAAGCAGCAAGCATTTGGAACTGCATTCAAATAAAAAATTGGTTCACATGAAAAATATTGACAGATTTTTGAGAGACACAGCATTAATGCTGTACAATAGCAAATGATAATACAAATTAAAATCATATCACATTTTGTCAATTACAAGTTAATCATTAGCACATTAAGTAGAAAAACACGTTTTTTCAAAGAAATGGTCTTGTTTGGAGCTCAAAGAGAAAAATTAATGTTGATATTAATTATGTTGATGCTTTACTCAGTGTAAGCAAGCTGTCACACATTTGAGTCTCATGGAGGTCACACAAATGATGTCTGGCTACCGAATGACTATCAAATCTGTATATATTTCCAATCAGTACTAATAATCAGTTTTAATGTCTCAGCATTGTAATCCTGCATTAAGTTTAGCTACTTACTTCCATATATACACAAACAAGAATATGGCATTCACAGTTTTGCTCAGGGAATCCTCTGCGCTCTCCCTGCACCAGATCCTTGTTCATCTCATGATATCTTCTTAAATCTGTCTTGCTCTGTGTCCTCCGTTCTTCCCCTCTGTTTTCTGAGCTCTTCCTCTCTGACTGCTTCTTGATCTGGACGCAAAAATCCCTCTCCTTCTCTGGTGTCACATGTGCTTGCTCTGTCTCTCTTTTTTTGTCTGTCTGTCCTGGTTTTTCTCTCCCATTGATCTGACTGTCCTAACCTGATATCCCAATCTCTTCCCTCTTTGGCTTAAGATATCCCTTGGAATGGAGAATGACTTTCTTCCACTCTAATGCTGTGGGTCCTGAGGTGGCCAAATAGTTCAATCTCTCCACTCTTTCAAACTCAACCAAAGCTCTTGACATCAGGTCTCCAGAGGCCAGTGGAATAGAAAGGCTGCCCTTCAAGCAATTGTGACGAACGTTTAATATATATCATTTTTAACTATTGGAAACTTGGTTTCTAAAGTTGATGAACGACATATAACTTTAAGTTTAATTTGTTAAGAAGGGGAGATGCAGCTTTAGTTACATTATTGAGTTTTGAGAGTTGTACAGATTTATCTCAAGTTTTTGTTTGCACGTATCTAAGTAAGGTCTTTAAATTTCTTGAAGTGAACAGCTCAATACATTAAGACCAAGGGTGGAAGAGTCAAAAATTGCTGCCATCTGCAATAAGGGGTCCCACAACACATGAAGAGAGAAAGCTAGAACCATCCAGATATTCAGGCAGATTCAGTGTGAGCAAGAAGGTGCTGTTGGTTTGGCTGTCTTCAAAAGTGATAGTTGGGGAAAGGTCCTGAATGTCTTAAGACAAAAACACCCAGAGACAGAAAATTGCTGGAAGATGGGAATACGAAAAACTGATATGTTCTTTGCTCTGAAAGTGTTTGGTAGTACGAACAAGAAAGCTCCATACACCGAGAAGCTTTAAAGTGAAGTTTGAGTACCTTCAGTTGCTGAGGTTAAACGGGCAAATTTTTATTTCTGATAATTGTAATAAGACCATTTTAAATAATGCATGTACAGTATAACATCATAAGTCTTTTGATTCTTTTGTGTAATAACTGTTATGTTCTTTAGTTGAATGTATGTCTGCTACTGATTTTGTTCAGTGATTGATCACCGTGGTGAACAAATAGCAAAAACAAAATGCACAATCTCTCCAAGGTGTAGAGCTGGATGAACACAGCAGGCCAAGCCGCATCAGAGGACCAGGAAGGCTGACATTTCAGGCCTAGACCCTTCTTCAGAAAAATTTTTTTGAAGAAGGGTCTAGGCCCGAAACGTC